TATTATTATTATTATTATTATTATTATTATTACACAACGGTTCTTTTGACAGAAAAAAATGACAATAAAATGACATTGGCACCTATGTTGCTCCATTGGTCAAATTGAGGCTTCCGCACCCACTGCCCTTTATTTCCGATCTGGCACTGCCATATCATCGATCAAGGGGGGTGCAAGTGTGTGGGGTGGGGGGGGGGGAGGTGCAAGGCCATCAATTTTACCAACTTAGCACCATAGGTGCCAATGTCATTTTAACCAATGTCAAAAGATCCTACCTGTTGTTGTTGTTATTATCATCCTTATGTTTAAGAGCTTTTGATCTTCTTTGTGTTAAATACTATTTCTTCTGCAGGTTTTATCCTGGAGTACCAGATGCATTGAAGTTTGCAAGTTCAAAGGTCTACATTGTGACCACAAAACAGGTCTGTTTAAAACTCGTAAGAGAAGCTCACTGAAGGTTTGCTTGATAAGTTGATATGAATCGTAAACTCAAGTTGTATCCTTCATCACAACATGTCTTTCTTGCATTCCCAATTCAGAGCCGCTTTGCAGATGCACTACTTCGTGAGCTTGCTGGTGTAACTATTTCCCCTGATAGAATTTACGGTCTAGGGACTGGGTGAGTTCATTTTGTGGGTTTTTTTGTTGGAGTGTGTACATCAAAATGCTTCTCCAAAACAGCCTTTTGATAGATACACTATACATTGATTGGAAAATGCTACTTTAACCCCATAGATGACACCAAGGTTGACACCATCAGAGACAATCATGCATCATGATCATGTCTGATGGGGTCAACCTTGGTGTCATGTGTGGTGTGACTGTAGCATGACCCTACAATCTCTTGGATCAGGCCGAAAGTACAAGTGTTGAAGCAGCTTCAAGAAATGCCAGAAAACAAGGGCCTAACCCTACAGTAAGATTCTTTGTTAGCAGATAGCTAAGATGCACCCTTTTCCACTTTTTCTTTCAGTTCAAAGATTTACTCTCCCGCCCACAAAAAGAGTTTATGGGTGATTTATCTTACGGACAAAATCCCTTTTAAATTTTGCCAGCTTTGTCGAAGATCGTCTTGCAACCTTGAAGAACGTGATTGAAGAGCCCGAGTTAGATGGATGGAATTTGTATCTAGGTAACTTCTCCAACTTCCATTCTTTATCACCGCCTTGTCCGTCTTCTCTATATTGGACAGATTCCTCAATTAAGTGTCTCTTCTTGACCCTGAAACATCTGAGTTTCAGTACGTGGGAATATCCAGACCCAATTTTTTCTATAAAATGTGGGAAAAAAATGGTAGTTCACATGTTATTGCTTTTGGATTTTTGTCCAACTTAGGTCACAATTGTTATACCAGTTCTCTCAATTTCACATGTTATTGCTTTTGGATTTTTGTTTTCTTTTGATGGCTAGTGCGTTGGGGTTACAACACTCCGAAAGAGAGGGAAGAAGCTGCAACAATTGCTAGAATTCGCCTTCTCGAGCTCTCTGATTTTAGCAACAAGTTGAAATGACAACCTCAATATCACTTATATTATTATTTCAAGTTGTATATTTTTGTCCATGCCAATGCTGGTACTTTCTTGTGCTTTCCTCCGGTGTACATTTATGGAACATAATGAAATAACATATGACTATAAATCATTGAAAGAAATTAGCATGTGGCTTTACATTGTTACCGTTAATCAGTTTCATTGTAATATAAACAAACATTGTTCTTTGACTCTCTGAATCTGTAGACCATATGTAACTATATAAGTGCAATGGAGGATAAAGAAGAGATGGCTTGTTGTGATTACAGCTCTTGGTGCATCTCGTCTGGTTTCACCTTAGTAGACTCTTTTTTGTCTTTCTCGCGCTGGAACTTCTCAAATACTTCCTCAAATGGAGGGTCACCCGGCCTACGAAAAAGTTGGTCTCCCATTTTAATCTCATATGCTTCAGGTTGGCTCAACAAGAACTCCTTCAACTGCATGAGATGGACTTAGTAATTCTTCTTTTTCATTACAAGCACATATGTTCTGCTTGCATTCCAATGTGAAATAAATGGTAGTGAATGCTAAGGTGAAAACAAAAACAACAAATTACAAGTCAAGAATGACACGTAAGCTCTCATACTAAGAACACCCTCACATCCCTCTGGTCACGAATTTGGTCGCAATTTCCAAAGGACCCTGCGACACTAGCAAACTTCCCACTTTAAATTGCTAGTCAACCAAGCACTTCAGAATACTATGACTACATGTCTCACTCTCTACAGAATTGGGGCAGTCTGGAGCGGATTTTCACTCTTTACATGTCCCAGCTGTTGATTGTTTTTTTCTTCTTTTTATTACTTAAAGTCTTATTTAGATGCCTAGTCATAATGAAAAACATGGAAAAAATAATGTGTGCAAGACCAAAGTTGGAACTTTACTGAGATACAATTATAATTCCATTGAATTTTACTTTATGGTGATGTCGCATATGGTGAGAGAAAAAACAGAACTTGATGTTGGATATGTTCAACTTGAACCCCCAATAAGATTCTGCTATATTTTTTCCTATATAAGGTGCAGAAACAAATAATAATTGCACAACCATAATGTACATGCCATAAATATTACTACTATCAGAGTGTGCTAGAGAAAAGTTCATAATTGCACAATCACCAACACATTTTAATGCCATTTGAGACTGAAATGAGTATTTACTTACCTCCAGAGTGTCTTGACCTTTTTCCATTGTGAACATGATTGTGCTCACATCAAAACCCATGAACTTTGCCTCAATTGCCCCAGTTCTTGCTAGTTTGGACCATTTCATTGCAATTTCAGTAACCATTTCCTGGTAAGTGGTAACAATAATAAATGTGAGGAACCAGAGCCAAACAATTATTAACTTTCTTCTAGTGAATGGCCTCAACTTCCAACCACCACCCAAAAAAATAATGCAGCCTATACAATCCTCCTTCCATCCCTAAATAATGGCTTGTTTTCCTTTTTTAGATGTCCCAAAAAAAATTTCTCATTCCATTTAAGAAAAGAAATGAGTGATTCACAATATTTTCTCTCATCTCCACAAACCCCGCCATACAATTTCACATTTGCGTAAACTCTATGAAAGTTAACCCATAACATTTATTTAGGGATGGATGGAGTAATAATTAATCAAAGCAAAATAGATAACAAATTGCAAAGAGATATGATATGTTGACACCATTTCTTTACTTGCACCGTTAAATTTGAACTTACATACTCCGTATATCCAAGTCTCCTATTTGCAAATTAAGTGGTGTCAAATGGTGAAAGTAAATAAATGGTGTCAAAATATTCCATCTCAATTGTAAATTGTAAATTTACTTACAATTAGTGGCATTTTTGTTAACTTTTTGGCAGTCCTAAGAATTCCCATTTCCTGCTACAGTGCTACCTTTTTTGTAATTACGTTTTTTGAAGGATTTTATCTGTGTTTTTATTCTGCTTATTTTTGTTTCAAAAGCTTATCAGCTACATTTTCTCTTTTGAAGAATGCTTCAAATGATTCTTTTGGACTTACTTTCATTTCCGTTAAGCTCTCTTCATCAATTTTCACTTAAAATTACAACTAAGTTATAGTTAAATTCACTTAATTTCAGTAAATTTTAGTCCAGAGGAACAAAGTATATACGCATAGCCATGAATTTCAGTCCATTATCATAAACTACACAGTTCTGCTAACTATTGCTGCTATGTGGAGCTGAAAATAGGAAATCTGTTAATTGCAATTTGATCAGACATTGAAGTTCTCTTGTAAACCCTAATTCAATTTGATAGAATCAGCTTCTTCAATCTTCATCACGAACTAAATAGATCATGAAATTAATTGCATACCGGAGTTCGGCGGGAGCCGAGGCGGAGCTTGGCGAATCCGAAGACCGGTCCGATCTGGCGCTTCATCATTTCCTCTTGCATCCGAGACGGATCCATATCACCGATGAGATCCATGGGGGGCGGGTCGAATTCGGGTGGACTCGTCTTCTTCACGCCCCATTCTCTCCAGGAATCATCTTCCTCGTCGTCGACGACATCTTCCAGATCGTCGGTAATGTGGATCCTCCGATGCGCTCCATCGGCGAGATGGCGGTTTCGTGGCGCATGAGTGCCAGCCAAAAGCAACAGGCAGATGAATGCCAAAGTGGCCATAGCAGTGTTAATCCAGAGGCTCGGAGCCGTTGGCGTGCCACCGGTGTGTAGGGCCAAAGAAATGTAAAATACTCAGAGGTGCAAGGCCCATTACTAGTACAGGTAAGTAATAAAGAGGTAAGTGATAAAGAGTAGTTACTTTTAATTATAGACTAAGGGGCTGTTTGGAAACTTCTGAATATATGCTGAACCAGTAAGAGGTCTGAACCATTAAGAGCTAGTATATTGCTTAACTATTCAGAGGCAAATGTCTGATCAATTCAGATAAGAGGTCTTAATCATTCAGACTCTGTATAATACTTAACCATTCAGAGGCAAATGTCTGAACCATTCAGACATCTGAACCATTAAGAGGCTGAAACAAAGAGTCTGAACCATTAAGTGATGAACCATTCAGACATCTGAACCATTAAGAGGCTGAAACAAACAGCCCCTAACTTTTAATCTTATATCCGTCCGTCTAACAATTTCTTTGCTCTTTTGACTTGATATGAAGATTAATAAAAGTTTAAAAATATAAAGAATTTCATGTTCGCTTTTAATGTGATGTAGTTAAGTAATAGTGTAGATGAAATGTGAAGGTATACTGGTACATCCATTAAAAGTTTTTTGCCGAAACAGAAAACAGGAAAGAAATTTTTGGACAGCCCAAAAGGAAAATGAGAAAGAAATTAATGAACAGGAAGAGTAATTGGCATAATTGTTTTTCGTAGTTGTCAAAAATCAAGTTCAATTTTACCCTCTCTGGCACCTCTTACTCAACAAACTAAACTACGACTCAGGAAAATTAGTTTCACATAGTAAAACTAATGTACGTAGTGATTTAGTTTCACATGGGAAAACTAAGGAAATAGAAAAGGGAATTGCGCTCATGTGCACCTGTTTAAAAAGTGCTTTCTTTTTAATCAAGTCACAAGGTGTAAAGTTGCTTTAAAAAAATACGAAATGACTAGAGATTCATTGAATATAGTCCAATTTATTTCATTGAACATAGTTAACTCATTGAGTGGTACAACATTCATTGAATACAAATCAACTCTTTTAATCACTAGAGATTTGATTCACTGTGATAAGCTTATTTTGTAGCCTCTTTCTAGACTACGTTTGACTTCTTCAAAGACGAAGGACAGCTGGATCATTTTCATTCGATGTCACAACTAAATGAACTAATGCTTAAAAGATCTTTTCAGTATTCCATCGTTGTATGTTTCGTTGGGGGGGGGGGGGGGGGGT